GAGGTTAAGATGTGTGATGTCGCGGGAAATGTAAGCTAAGGAAGCAGGTCTTCCAATCAAGTCGACTGCCAACATGCCCGGCAGAGGTGACAATGGGATTGAATCCTTAGCCCGAGGAGGAGGTGCCTTTGTGTGCTGGAAAAGTGGAAACTTTCCAGAGAATGCCAGTATTCCTGCCTCCCAACTCCTCCCATGCACCATCAGAGTCCCAGTAAGCTGAGTGACATTCCGTGCAGGCGTCCGGGAGGCTAGTGCACGAGGACTGGGGGGCGTCCAGTCCAGGCGCATGGGCGGGAGGACCCCCCAGCTGGAGACCAGTCCAGCCATCCTGTGGAGGGTGCCGTGGACAGGCCGCTCGCTGGGGGGTCCTCCCTCAAGCAGCTTCTCCGAGAACTGAGTAGAGGGCAAACACTTTCCAGAGCTCATGCCCACCCGTACCCCTGACCCTTTTGTTCCCTCCTCACCTCAAACTTGGTGTAGAAAAGGAGGTTTTTACCAGGAATCTGCGTGAGTGGGTGTCTGGAAATGTTCTAAACCTGCCTGCAGGCTGACAGGGCGGGTCTTCAGTGTGACAGCCAACAAGGCATGCCCGCTTGGTGCCAGCTCGGCCTTCGCACTGCCCTCCCTGTGGTGCCAGCCCTCCTCCTCCTTCCTCCCTGTGGTGCCAGCCCTCCTCCTCCTTCCTCCCTGTGCGTTCTGCTCCCGTTCCTCTTCCTCCCTTAACCTCCCACCTTGTCCTTGGCTCAGGGCTTCCCTTTGGATGACGCTGGCACCGAGGTGGATTCGATCCCAGACCCGAAGGGTGATGGCGGGCCGGAGGCACCAAGACCCACCGGCCTCGGTCTGACGGGTCAGCCTGGCCTCGGTCAGGAGGTTGAGTTCTCCAGGTTTCTCTCCCACCGTTCGACCCGTAGTGACCCTACGCACCACAGAACGAAGCCCGGCCCTGGGCCATCCTCACAGTTGTTCCTACTCCGGAGCCCATTGGTGCAGCCGCTGTGCCCGTCCACTTTGTCAGCAACCTTCGTCCTGTCCGCCGCTCCTCCACTTCACCAAACAATGTGTTCCTTCGCCTTCTCCAGGGACCGGGCTCTCCTGACAGCACAGGCAACACGTCTGAAGGACGTGAGACAAAATGTCGCCATCCTTGCCTCTAAGGAGTGTGCTGGTCACAGTCCTTCTTCCAAGACAGAGCGGTTTGTCCTTTTAGCAGACCACGGCACACGCGGCCATTCTTCTTTGGGCTTCCTTATTCAGTGGCCAACTCTCACGTGCATTTGAGACCGCTGCAAATACCGTGGCTGGGCTCAGGCGCACCTGCGTCCTCAAAGAGCGTCCTGGTTTTTCAAAGAGGACCTGCTCATGTGATCAGAGCCGTTGGGAGTGGTAGCCACCGGTGCAGTATTTGACAGCTTCCTCGGCGGTGTCTAGATGAGTGACGGAGGGTTTGCTCTCCGCTACTCACCTGGAGGTCAGAGACCCAAACCCGCCCGCTGGGTCTGAAGAGGAAAGGCCTGGCAGTCCCTGGGCATAGAGATGACAGCCAAGCAAGCGGAGCTAGTTCAGTCACGTGGGTCTCCAGGAGCCGGAGCCACTTCAAGGGCAATGGGGTTGAGTTGGTTTTGAAATTATGTATTTATCGATAGTATATATGATGTATATTCCATATATATGGAATAAAGGTAAGAGCAATGAGGTCATGTCCTATGAAAAGGAAGAATGTTTGTATATAAAAAGAAGAAAATGTCTCTGGAAACTGGTTTCCTGTGAGCACACTGGGGGGGGTGGTCTGTGAGGTGACCGGTGTGTGTGTGTGTGTGTGTGTGTTGTGCGTGTATTGTACATGTGTTGTGCACATGCTCGCGCGTGCACAAGGTGGGAGATCAAATTCTGTATCTCTTTTTAAAAAAAATCATTAACAAGAGCAAAGAAAGATCAACTCCTCTTTCATGACCTCTTTTAGGGTTGTGAAAACCCCTCTTATTGAATTACCAGGGTTTCCTTCCCATATAAAACGAAATCCCCTCTCTTTCTAAATTGCTATGCAAATAACATTTGGTAACCTCTTTTAAAACATCATTTTATTGAGGGCTCTTAACAGCCCTTATAACCACCCGTCAGTTGTATCTGTGTGTCTGGTTCGTACTCAGAGGCTACTTTGGGGTGAGGGGGCGTATAGCGAAGCTGCACATTGGGCATGCTTATGTGTAAACGTGATGCTATCGTGACAATTCAATATTGAAATTACAGTTTCTGTTCTCCACCTTGGAAAGGTGTCAAGGTAACACCACGTCTGTGGTTGGCCCGAGGAAAGAAATGCTGAGCCCCAACCGCCACACATGGGGTTTGGTTTGAACCCACTAGCTGCTCTGTGGGAGACCTTTAACCCACTTATAAGGTGGAGGCAGTTTCCTTTTTATATTAAAGCAAAAGATGTTGACTGCCACATTTTGGATGAGCCCTATAGGACCAGCGGTGTGAGTGGCAAAACAGGGAGGGTAAAGGGAGAATGGGTAGGGAAGAGGGAACCGATTACATGGAAGTGTGTGTGACCTCCTCCCTGGGGGACAGACAACCAAAAAGTGGATGAAGGGAGACGTCGGACAGGGCAAGATATGACAAAATACCCATTTATAAACTATCAAGGGCTCATGTGGGAGGGGGGAGCGGGGAGGGAGGGGAAAAATGAGGACCTAATGTCGGGGGTTTAAATGGAGAGAAAATGTTTTGAGAAATGATGTACAAATGCGCATTACACAATTGATGTGTGTATGGATTGTGATAAGAGTTGTATGAGCCCCTAATAAAATGTTTAAAAAAATAAAAAAAAAGATTTTGAACAGCCAGAATTTACCTGGAAGGATTTGATCACAACCCTGAAAGGAGCCCTGGTGGTGCAGTGATTAAAATGCTCCTCCTTCCTCGCTGGAAGGGTTGTGACTCAAGCCTATCAGCTGCCGAGGGAGACCAGTGAGGCTGTCTGATCCCGTCAGATGTATAGCCTCGGAAACCCCGTGGGTGTATCTGCCCTGCCCTGTGTAAGGTGTAGTTAGTTATGCATTAGGCTGCCAACTGCAAGGTCCTAAGTTCGAGACCACTCCTCGGGAGAAGATGAGGCTTTCTACTCTTAAAGATTGACAGTCTTGGAAACCCTGAGCGACAGGTGTCATCTGCCCTATAGGGTTGCTGTGAGTGCAAATGAACTCAATGGCAGTGAGTTTTTAATTATAACCCTACTTTAATCTGATGTCCTTGTTCATACGAGGGTTGTGCCGATCTCCTGTGCCATATGAGGAGGCCCTGCGGCACTGTGGCGGAAGCACCTAGCTGCTAACCCAAAACGTTCCAACCCACCAGCCACTTCACAGGAGAAAGGTGGCTATCGTCGGGGTCCACCAATATACAGCTCTGGAAACTCTGGGGCTCTGTCTTGTGGGGCCGAGTAGCTGTGACTCAAAACAGAATCAATGGCTGCAGCCACTTGTGTTTTCTCATCAACCAATAACTAAGCAGTTACCACCCAAACCAAACCGAATTCACTGCCCTTGAGTCCATGGCTGACTCACAGTGACCGCTCAGGATTCCGAGACTAACTGTTTACGGGAGTCTTCCTCCCAGTCTTTCGCTGCTGGTGGTTTTGAACTGCTGACCATGAGGATCACAGCCCAAGTAAGCACTTCACCACCAGGGCTGAGTTAGGACTTTTGTGACCGTGCCTGCTAGCGCCCTCTACAGGCTGTTGGGCTGCTAGAACTCTGCGGAGGTAGAATGGGCAGCCTTTCTCACGGGTACCAATGCCCTGGCTTCACCCTTGGGTCCCAGTCCATCTGCTGACATTTCCAAGCCCCTCCCACCACCACGCAGCCTGCCGCCTTCGGTGCAGGGGGCACAGGAGTCTGTACAGTTACTCGCCTGTCAGTGTGTACACACCAAGAGCCCTGGTGGCATGGTAGTGGTTACGCCAACTTGTGCCACTCACCTCAAGGCCAGCCGTTGGGAACCACCAGTCACGCCACCAGAGACAGAGGCAGCTGTCTGCTCCCATAGAGATTTTCAGCCTCGGACACCCACAGGGCCAGTTCTGCTTTGTCCTGTGGGGTCGCCATGAGTCAGCATCGACTCATTGTCAGTGAGTTTGGGCTCCAGACTGCATGCTGGAAGGAGCCCTGGTTGTGCAGTGGTGAGAGCGCTCCACTGCCAACTGGCGGGTGAGCCTTTTGAACCCACTAGCTGCTCCGTGGGAGAAAGCTCTGGCAGTCAGTTTCCATAAAGGTGGCGGTTTGGAAAGCTTGCTTTGTGCCCTGTCGCGTCTCTGTACGTTGGAATTGCAGTGGGTGGGGTTGGTGTGGACTACAATCGAGTTGCCACCACACCGTGGCTTGTGTGCCCGTGAACTTGGCAGTCTGCTTCCATCAAGATGAAAACCCAAACTCGCTGCCATTGAGTGGATGCCCACTCACAGAGACCCTGTAGGACAGCACAGAACTGCCCCAGTGGGTTTGCGAGGCTGTAACTGTTTACGGGAGCAGACAGCCTCCCCTTTCTCCTGCAGAGCTGTCGGTGGTCTCAAACCACTGAGCTTGCAACCAGCTAGCAGGCCAAAATGTAGCCCACTCCACCACCAGGGCTCTGAACATTCTGACCGAAAACCAAACCAGACTCACTGCGGACTCAGAGTGAACCCCTGTGGGTTTCTGAGGCTGTAATTGTGAGAGGAGAAAGCCTGGCCTTTCTCCCTCGGATCTGCTGGTGGTGTTGAGCTAATGACCAGGCGGATCGTAGCCCCACCGGGGACCATGCCAGTATTTTAGGGTGTTGTGTTAAAGCAAGCTCCTAAGAGGAGTCTGGCAGGGGTCATCATCAATAATCCACTCTCGTTCTCGGTTTTTACTTAGACTGGGTGAGGGCCACTGCCCCTGGGGACCACTGGCTTCTGAGTGTTGGCATCTCCCGAGTGGTCAGCTGACTCCCGTCCCTCCCTCCCTCCCTGTGGCTTACAGGCAGCACCAAAGTCAACCTGGTGAAGATCCCCTCCGCGGCCTCCAGCCCCCGGGACACAGCGCTGGCCGCCGTGATCTGCAGTGCCCTGGCCACCGTGCTGCTGGCCCTGCTCATCCTCTGCGTCATCTACTGCAAGAGGCAGTTTGTGGAGAAGAAACCCAGCTGTAAGTGTTGTGGCGCTCTCCGCGTGGCCTCGGGCCCCGTGAAACAGCCACGTATCGTCACCCGCTGGCTTGGGGACCAAGAAGGGAGTCTGAGGGCATGCAGAGGGAGGCATCGCTGCCTTCTGTTGCGTCTCTGCGCACCCATGTAAAGACAGTGCAGACACCCCTAGCTGGACATCGCATTCTGCCCAAGCCCTGACAGCACCCTGGTTTAACCCCACACCCATGCTCCGCTGGTGGGTCTGAACTGCTAACCTCGCATTGGCTGTCCAGCGCTTATCCAGGAGTGCCACCAGGCTCAGGTCCCCACGTCTTAGATTTTCTTAAACTCTGTGTATACGGCAGTGTCAGAAGGAAGCATCTAAACTTCAGCAAATGGTTGCCCTCTTTGGCCGTGAAGATGCGCATGCAGAAGGGTGGGGGTAGGGGTCTGCATGGTGATGCCAACGACTCTCCTTTATGAAGGCAATAGGCCCCCCAACACCACGTCCTCCCCCTCCTTCGCAGGGTCTCTAAGATCACAGGACGTGCAGTACAACGGGTCCGAGCTGGCCTGTTTTGACCGACCTGGACTCCACGAGACCCCTCCCCGAGCCTGCTGCCAGTGTCACCGAGATGCCACCCAGGCCTGTGGTAAGCTCAGCCCGGGGGTCCCTCTGGAGGAGCAAGAGGGATCTGCGGGGGGTGGGGTGGCCCACAGGGGTGTCTTGTCCTCCCACTGCCATTCAGACTGTTCACTGCCCCCATCGGGGTTCTTGACAGCAAAGACGGCGCTCAGAGGGCTGTCTTCTGTCCCCGAGTGTCTCCGGCCCCTTTGAACCGGCACGTGTTCGTGAGCCCCTCCTTGGTCAACCATGGTGGTTTTGTAGACTGGCCGCTGGTTGGGGTCTGTGGGCAGAAGCGACGCGGTGTT